AAAGAAACTTGAAATCCAATTTACCTGGACTTTTGAAACAGAGGGAGCATGACCTAATAATGTAAGCAAATCAGCTGAGAGTGAGAGGATCTGGGCTCTAAACTCAAACTTGTGCCTACTGAGAGTTGGAGATGAGCTGGTGAACAATGTAGGAAACATTGGAGTGATCCACAGAATGGCATTCCATCCTGCAGATCCAGAAAACAGCCTTCTGAAATTATCCAGAATTGATCAGGCCCTAAGGAGACTAAAACTAACAAGAATTAAAATAAACTGAATGGGAAATTAGAATCCCACTTACCAATTTGCACTAAACACTCAGGTTTTGCCAATGAACCTGGAATCCTATGGGTCTACTGACCCAAAAGAGAGACTTCACTGAAAAACCAAATTATTCTCCTCTGCATTTAAGAGCTAACTTCTAAGAGAGCGAGATTTACCCTACTGGTTAGATATAGCAAACTTCTCCCTCTGCTGGCTCACCATTTTGTGCAGAAAATCCTTGGCCTGGCAATTAAGTACCTCCATGTCTGATGTTAGCTTGACTCCAATTTTATCTTTATTCTTTCTCCGATGCCTGCTTGTAACCCCCCCCAAAACCAAGCTCCAATCAAAGTCTGCCATTCATTCCTCAGTAAGCCATGATTTCTCATGCCTTCATGCCTTAACAAATGGCTGATAACACCTAGAAAGTTCTTCTCTTCTTCTCTCCTCATATTCAAGACTTGGATCAAGTTCTAGCAACCCCTGATCAGACAGTAATAGAAAAAAATGTGTCCTGTTATCTTCATTAAGGTAACAAATGAAACAATCTTGGCTAGTGTACTGAAGACTGAAGCAGCATCGCCCCTAGTTTGTCTCAAATCCTATTACACTAATAAGAAGAAAGCTGAGCCCTGGCTGGTGTGGTTCAATTGCATCGTCTTGTGCACCAGAAGGTCGTCGTTCGATTCCCAGTCAGGGCACATGCCTAGGTTGTAGGTTTGATCCTAGTCAGGGCGGATATAGGAAGCAAACAATCGATATATCTCTCTCACATCAGTGTTTCTCTCGCTCTCTCTCCCTTCCTTCCTTTCTAAAATCAATTTTTAAAAAGAAGAAGATCATGCTGGAGGCAAGCCCAAGGTGCTTTCCCCACCCCACCCCACCCCCCCTAAAACCTTTATAATCCTTTAAAAAATATCTTTATTGTTGAAAGTCTTACATATGTCTGCTTCCCCGCCCCCCCCCCATTTAAACCCCTCCAGCCTGCCCCCACCTGCTCCCCCCCCCCCAGGCTTTCACCACCTAATTGTCCATGTCCATGGGTTATGCATATTTATTTATTTATTGTCTTTGGTTGCTTACCTCCCCTGCCTTCCCTCTGAGATTCCCCACTCCATTCAATGCTTACATGCCTCTGGATCCTCTCTGTTCATCAGTTTATTTTGTTTATTATATTCCACATATGAGTGAAATCATTGTCTTTCTCTGTCTGCTTATTTCACTAAGCCTGATACTCTCCAGGTCCCTCCATGCTACCTCAAAGGTAAGAGATTGTTCTTTTTTACTGCTGCACGGTGTTCCATGGTATAGATATACCACAGCTGTTTTAGCCACTCATCCACTGATGGGCACTTAAGCCCAAGGTGCTCTGTAAATACCAGGGAGAGACACTTGGCAAGTCCTGGTGCTTCACAGGATGCTTCCTGACCAAGATCATGTGCCATTAGTAGGTGAGGCCCAGGACAATGGTAGAGGTTTGGTGGTGAGTGGAGTGGGAGAGCTGTGTAAACAGAACAGCACGGGAAAAGGCTCAGAGATAGTGTAACAGGACAATCAAAGGGTCTGGGCTGCCTGTCACTACTTGAGCCAATTCAGCAGAGACAGAGTTGAATCATATGAGTGTTTATTATAAATAATAAACTCATATTAAATAAATATGAGTGTTTATTCCTATACTGCCAGCAGCATGGGAGAGCAACAGGTCATCCACAAAAATCTGCTTTGCAGCCCCCTATAAACCAGCTGCTTATCTGTGGTAAAACAGATTACATGGGGAAGGAGGGATTACAGGCAGGCAGAAGTAGGAGGCTGGGGTGGGACTCCATTCTTTGGGCAACAAGGCTGTTAATCTTTTCATGATAATAGGCTGTTGTTGAATGAGAATGGACCACATTCCAAGGCTGAATCCCAGGTCCAAGATTGACCCCCAGGTCCCGGGGGCATACAACTCTTAGCCAGGTCAGAAATGTCCTTTCTTGAACCAACACACAAGGCAATCATGGTTAACAGAGCACAATTAATATTTCCCATAACCATAAATAATCCCCCAATATTCTATTTTTTCCCTCTAACCATAGCAGCAGCCTCTGTCTCTCCTTTGATCTATTGACCTGCCTTTGACCTTCCTACACAGATTTCTTCCTAAAGCAGTGGTGTCCCTGGCTCTCTCAATCCTGGGAGAGAAAAGATGATTGGACCTCTTCACTAGCCAATCAAGCCCTCCTAACTCCATACACCAGCTGCACTCACATTCCTAGGTTCTCCTTGACCAGGGGTCCTCAAACTTTTTAAACAGGGGGCCAGTTCACTGTCCCTCGGACCGTTGGAGGGCCGGACTATAGTTTAAAAAAAAAAAACTATGAACAAATTCCTATGCACAGTGCACATATCTTATTTTGAAGTAAAAAAAAAAAAAAAAAAAAACGGGAACAAATACAATATTTAAAATGAAGAACAAGTAAAGTTAAATCAACAAACTTACCAGTATTTCAATGGGAACTATGGGCCTGCTTTTGGCTAATGAGATGGTCAATGTCCGGTTCCATATTTGTCACTGCTAGTGGTAACAAGTAATGCAAGTGTGCATCAGTTAGTCTAGATCTGGTTGGAGATTTCAGATGTTTCATTCTGGAAAAAGTCTGTTCACAGACATAAGTGCTGCCAAAGATAGCGCACATTCCACACATGCGCACTGCCGGCTGGGACAAGTCGGCTGCTAAGCAACAGGCAGCTGCAGCAAAAACACCCCACGGGCCGGATAAATGTTTTCTGCGGGCCGCATGAGGCCCGCAGGCCATAGCTTGAGGACCCCTGTCCTTGACCCACCAGACACACATGTACCCTTGGAGACTGTCCCTCAAAATGCCATCAATACAGGATCCTAAAAGAAGAGTCTTTACACCCATTACCCAGTTACATACCAATAATAATAGAGGGCTATTCTTCAAAGAAGGAATTGAGAATATTTTAGTGTTTAAATGATAGAAGTCAGTGTCTGTGGCAGATGGAATTTACACCTATCAAATAAACCACCCTAAATGTCTATTCCTGACAAAAGGCAAAGCAAATTCCTCCCAGGGCACTAAGAGGACCCTCCATAGGTCAGAGTGTTTCTCTGGTAGGAATCCAGAAAAGTGGAGAGAAGAAATATAGCTGCTCTCAACATGAGAATTGAAGCCTGTCTGAATGGACAGGGCCAGTCTCAGCTCATAGGAATAGTATGTTCATAGTGGGAAGATCCTGTGAATTTTTTTTGAGGGCATCCATTCACCCAAGGAACTAGCAAGGTTAGTCACTTGAAAGTGAAGAACTGAGGTCAACTGAAAGTGAAGAACTCAAGTCCATCCTTGCTCACATGTAGGAGCCCATTCCTACCAGGGGCCTGAGAGATTTGGCAGAGGCTGGGTGAAGGCTGAGCATAGAAGAGATTTCCCTTATGGAGTTCAAGGTCAAGTCAACCTACAGTCAATAGCTCTGTTCTAAACTATAACAAAATACCACTCAACACTCAGTAGGATGGCTATATTTAAAAAAAAAAAAAAACATTCATGAGGATTTTAAAAAATTGGACCTGTTAACGTAAAAAAAAAAAAAAAACCAAAAAACAAACATTGAAACCTGTAAAGAATTTTGTGAGTTTATTTGAGCCAAACTGTCGACATATGCCAGGAAGCAGAACCTCAACGAATTGAGATAGTGCTCCGGAGAATGGCAGGGTTACATCCGTATTTATACAGATTTAAGGAGGTGGGATTAAGCGAAGCGGGGGGGGGGGGGGGGGGGGGGGGGGGGGGGGGGGAACCTCTGTGATAGGATAAAAAGTAAAATGATGGACACATACTTAGGTGGGTGCAGGAACAATTAACATGATGATGAAGGAATTTGTGGCATCTGTCCTGGGACCCAGCACACCTGGCTGTGCGCCAGGGGCTCCATAAAAAGGGAAGTCACAAGTTACCCAGACATCCCAAGGACATGTTATCATAGATGCAAAAAGACAGATAGGCTCAGTTACGGTAAAGGTTGACCTTATCAGTGAAGATAACTGCTTTTAGTTAAGGTTTAATTTCAGACCATCCTTTGCGGTTACTTTAGGTCTGCAAAACTGCCGTGCAGGCCCCTCCTGAGCTTGTCAGGTCAGCATGTAGCCCCTTTCCTCCTCAGACCCCCTCCTACATTGCTGGTGGAAATGTAAAATAGCGGGGCCACTTTGGAAAACGAGATGGCCCGGATGGCCCAGAAGTTCCACTTCTAGGTACATAACCCAAAAGAAATGGAAACATGTTCACACAAAAAACTTGTACACAATGTTCATAGCAGCGTTATTCGTGAGAGCCTCAAACCGGAAACAACCCAAATACTCATCAACTGATGAATGGGTAAACAAAATGTGGTATACCCATACACTAGAATATAGCATACATAAAACTTTAAAATGTTATGCTAAGTGAAAGAAGCCAGTCACAAAAGACCAGATATTATCACTGCATTTATGTGAAATGTCCCCTACCCCCCATAGGCATATCCATACCGAAAGCAGATTAGTGACTGCCTGGGGCTAGGGCGAGAGGACAGGGAGGGGGCACTGGGAAAGGGAGGCGACTGTTTAATGGGTATGGGTTTGAAGTCCTACAATTGGCTCCTCTCTGGGGGGCGTGGCTAGGCCCTGGGGGCGTGGCTAGACTTCTGGGCGGGACACAGAGGCCCATGCTGTAGAGGCTATTACACCTGGAGGCATGGAGGAGTGTGCTGGCCTCTGCGGTGCGGGCTCTTCACGGGGATGTTGGTGTGGTCAGAAGCGCCAGCGACCAGCTGCGACGGCAGCAGCAGACGGCAAGCCGGCCCCGGCCCCCGGAGAAAAGCAAGTCGAGGCGGACGCAGCAGCGCGGTGCTGTGCGGGGAGTGGAGGAATCTCGAGCCCCATGCCGGCCCCGCACTGCTCGCTGCAGGACCTGCCGGTGGAGATGCTGGTGGAGATCTTCGCCTCGCTCCCGGGCACCGACCTGCTCAGCCTGGCCCAGGCCTGCACCAAATTCCACCGCATCCTGCACACCGACAGCATCTGGAGACGGCGCTGCCGCGAGGAGTTTGGCGTTCGTGAAAACCTGCAGAACCCGGAGACGATCGGTATGTCTTATCGAGAAGTCTATGCGAAGCTGTTCCACCCATACAGACACATTTTGGGATTGTGGCAGCAAGATAATAGCTATAGAACACTGCTGAATGTCGTGGCGGACGGCTTATGCATTACTGGTTGGACGTACAGGCCTTCCCTTAACACCCATGTGGATGGCCCACTGCTATTCCAGCCCTCGTTCAGAATTCGCCTGACGGAGAGGAAATCAGCCACGCTGGAGTGCCTGGAAGGCCTCCACCGCAGGCCCCACAGCCACCGCATGCAGATTCGGAAGGACAGGTTCCGCATCCAGTGCAACAAGACAGACCACCGAACGGATTCACCCACGCGGCTTAGGGGAGAAGGGGGGCTGGTGCTGGGGCAGGAGGACAGACAGGTGTATGACTGCCTGACCTACCGCCGCCTCTACCTCCCGCCACGCCACCCGGGGGACCTCATCAGGCCAGGCCTCTTCCAAGGCAAATACCAGAGCTTCAGACTAAAGAAGATTGCCATGCTCAGCTTCCATGGGAAGTATGCCAGGGTCACGAAGATCATGGGAGAGTCCATCGTGATGTTAGAGATCCACCTCAGGCGCCGCATCCAGCTGCGAGATGGCGAGATCTTCCGCAACTTCAACGAGCTCTCCCGCGTGGTCCAGGAGATTGACGAGCAGGTGTTCCGGGAGCAGCAGCAGCAAGAAAACGGGACTGAGGAAAGCGAGGGCCTTGGCTGGCAGAGCCCTGCCCAGCCCAGCGTCGGGGAGTCCGGGGCTGCAGCTTCAGAAGAGCAGCTTGTCCCGTTTGTTCTGCCTGCGAACGTGCTCTCAATAGAACAGAACTACCCCCGAACCTGCAGGATGTGTTTCTATGGCGTGGACACTGTTCCTGTTACCAGACATGGCTTTGCCTCCACCAGGCGCCTCCCTGGAGCCTTCATCCTGTTCGATGAGAACCACTTCGGGTTCATCTGCCTGGAGCTGAAATACTTCATCCTGTTCGGCAGAGTCCAGGACACCTTCCAGAATGTGGAGGCACCGTCCCCGCAGGCCTTCCTGGAGATGCTCTGGAACATTCAGTCCGGTCCGGGAGGAGCAGCTGGCATGCACTTTGAAGATTTGACCTTCTGACCAGGTTACCCACCTTTGTTGGTTTGTTTTTTGTTTTGGTTTTTTTTTTTAATATATTTTATTGATTCTTTACAGAGAGGAAGGGAGAGAGATAGAGAGTTAGAAACATCGATGAGAGAGAAACATCAATCAGCTGCCTCCTGCACACCCCCTACTGGGGATGTGCCCGCAACCAAGGTACATGCCCTTGACCGGAATCGAACCTGGGACCCTTCAGTCCGCAGGCCCAGGCTCTATCCATCGAGCCAAACCGGCTAGGGCTTTGTTTGTTTTTTTAATCCTCACCCAGGATATTTTCCCATTGATGTTTAGAGAGAGTGGGGGAGAGAGGGAAAGACAGAAATAATCGATGTGAGAGAAACACATCAGTTGGTTGCCTCCTGCCCAAGCCCAGACCGGGGCCAGGCTGGGTAGGAGCCAGCAATTGAGGTAGAAATAAACCTTAGACCCGTGGTTCTCAACCTTCCTAATGCCGCGACTCTTTAATACCGTTCCTCATGTTGTGGCGACCTCCAATTTCATTGTTACCAATTGAACATAATTAAAGCATAGTGATTAATCACAAAAACAGTATGTAATTATATATGTGTTTTCCGATGGTCTTAGGCGACCCCTGTGAAAGGGCCGTTCGACCCACAGGTTGAGAACCGCTGCCTTAGACCTTTCCATCCGCAGGTCCAGACTCTATCCACTGAGCCAAACCAGCTAGGGCTGAGCATGTCTTTTTAAAAAGAAAGAAAGAAAAAGGAAAGATCCTAAAATTAGATAGTGGTAATTGTTAGATTGTACAACTCTGAATAAAATAAAAATCATTGAATTGTAAAATAAATAAATAAATAAATAAATAGAAGAAGAAAAAAGCTACTACAAGTCACTTCTACTGGTCTACAAACTTCTCATCCTACATACTTATATTGGAATTAATTATCTTTATAATCAATATATCTTAACATTCCAAATACAAAGCATATAGAGAGTGTACAATGAAGAGAAAATCTTGTAGTGTAGGAGTGAAGGAGAGTCAATAGTATTTACTTTTGCCTCTCAGGTGTCTGAAGTTCAAATTAAGCAATGTTAACATGCTAGGATAAATTAATAGTTTCGTATGTGTTTTTATTCTATCAGATAATTCAGATTTATGACTGACCAAATGTAAAGATCACTTACAAAACTCTCAAAATTATATTTGGGCTTGTACAGAAATAATGTAATACCTTCCTAGGAAAATATAGCCCTCTTTCTACTGCCATTAAATAAGCAATATGGAAAATACTTCATAAGTAAGAAACAGTTCATGGGGTGGATTAAAATATTCCTTTTCATACAGACAAATTCAAGTACATAAGAGACTTGAGTGAGGGGTCCCTAGGACACTGAGATAAACATAGAAGTCCTGCTCCATTTCTAGAACTGTGTCATTTAGTTCCACCAAGACTGGCAGAGTTCACATACTTTCTGAGTCAAAAATTAAGAGTATTTCATTTTTACATATTTGTGAGAATTCCAGTATCCAATTGATCAGCCAGCAAATAAATCTTTAGAAGCAGAACCACTGGATTGGTCAAAGTTCCTGACATTTCTAGAAATAGCCATGACAGATGCAGGAATTGACAGTTGCTATGGGCTCCAAATATTATAACAAAAATAAAGAAATAAGCAAATATATTGACCACTGAGGAGAGCAAAAGACCCCAGATTATATTCACCGAGTTAGAAAAACAGGTGTGGTATTTGAATTCCAATTAAAACTAAATCTACACAGAGAATTCAACCACTATGAACAAGTAATTATGATTAATCATACCAAATAAAGTTTTATAAGACTACGTTAAACCTGAATCATCTGAATAACTACCTTAACTGGCCATTTCATATTTCTTACACAGCTCCTTAAATTTTGAAATCATATGATTGTATATAACTTATATGTTTATTAGGACCCATAAATGTAGGTGATGAGTTATTTTTAACTCTTCTGAATAGTTGGAACACATGGGATATGAATTAACAAGTTAATAAGTTAGAATTTGAGCAAACTGAAAAGATTTCAAGATATTAAATGAATTTCCATATGGTCATTTTAAGGCCAGAAAATATTGAAGAAAAGCAATCAGTATTCATCAAGATACACAATATTCTTTAGACTGAGATATAACTGTTTGAGTTTTACTATTTTAACACAAAAGAAGGCAACTAGTGCTCCTTAGGCTTCCATGAAAACAATCAAGTTGCCACAATAGATAACCACGCAGTTCAGCATTGAGGACTCACAAGATCCTAGGCAGACCATGCTTGACCCGGTGCACCCTAGAGATGTTTCCCCAAATAGCTCCCCAGAGCACATCTCTTTCAAAGGAAAGCTTTTGAAGGGGGGGAGAGGGGGGAGGCTGGATTTAGATGCGGTTCCTCATATTAACAGATGAACAGCCACACCCCACATGTATGAATTAATTCTCTCTTGACATGGTTTAGTCACAGAAATCCCACAGATGACTGCCAGGATGGACCATTATTATGCGCTAAAGAGAACAGTGTAATAAGGATGCCTTGTACTAAGCATTAATATTACACAGAATCCAAATTTCAAAAGAGATGAACTGACTCCATGAGACCAAGTTTACATCGGAACATATGGATAAACGCTGCTACCAATGGCCCTATAAATCAGTGAATTGCTTCCAGAGAAGACTTTATCTTAGATCAACACTAAATGTATTTATTTGTATATGTATACCTATCCTTCCCTTAAAAAAATTTTGTTTTGAGATGATAAGTTTTCAATTAAAACAGATCTAATCTGATCAAGCTCTACTTTTACAGTATGGTTTCTCCAGTAAATTCCAATTTTCGTAAATTATAATTCAACCAATCATCACAAAATATGTGCTAGGCACTGAGAAGTAGTCTTGCCCTAAAGAAGCTTCCCACCTCCATGGAGAGACAAGTAAGAAATTGCCATGGAAACTAGAAATTATAACATAACAAGTCATGCAGTGCAGCCAGAAGTAGAGAGACAAAGGAAAAGATTTAGGCCACCAGGGAGTTGGGGGTTAAAAGAGTTCAACAAGGGGAAACATGTCTGAACATCTTGGAGAACCCGCTGAAATTTGACAAGTAGAAATGACCAACCAGAGGGGGTGGGGGGCAAGAGGCACATGGCCAGCTAGAGCAAATAGCCCGTGCACACCCACTGAGGCATGAAACAGCACAGCATGCTCGACAAACAGTTGTTGAATTGGCATTGTATTTACACATAGAACAGTTGTGTTAATATATTCTATAATTTCCTTAGAAATAAACTTTGCATGAAAGCCACATTGCTGCTCTTCCCCATCTTAAATGGGTGGGTGTGGTGGAAATCCCATGAATTTTCTTAGAAATTTTGCAAGATCATCCAAAACACATTCTAGTGGAAAGTTACAAACACAATTACAGCAGACATAAATTCAGAAATGACTTACAGTTGAACTTAAATGAAGAGGAAGCCCCCTCCAATTTATATCTTTTCCATCACCCTTGGATTTCAGGGTTAGCATTTTATTCAATGGTTTACTCAGCAGCACCAGGAGGTAGAAGTTTTTCCTGCATGCACAGTGCCGAGGTTAGAACTCTGGACGGACCTGAGAGTTAATCTTGTCTTTGTTTCTCAGGAATTATGTGACCCTGGGTAAATGTTTTTATCTTCTCAAGCCTCAGTTTCCTTGTGTATAAAACAGGGGTTATACTAACATGCCTCAAATGGATAGTCTGACAATCAAATGAAGTTCTATCTAAAGATCTTTGCAGAGAGCCTGGTATGCAGTAAGAGCTCAATAAATAATTTTAAAATAAGAACAAAGTAAGGCAATACGTTGGTCTGTGATGCAAGCAAAACTTAGGAATTTATGCAATTATCCAAATAATTGAGAACGAATCCTCATTCTTGAGACATAACCAGCTAGTTTCGATATAAAAATGATGTGGGTGTCAGATGAAAATGGTTCGGGATTTGATTTTCCTAACAGAGACAATTCTTTTTCCTTTTAGCCTATAGGGCCAACCTCAACTTCTGATCTCACTAAAAACTGCCTAAACTTCTTGGACGTTTGTTGTCCCATTTAACTCTGTTGTTAAAAGATACTTATATTGTTTCCTATAAATAGATGTCCAAAAGAAAAGTACCTACACACCAAAGGATGCTGTACTGGGATATGTGAGAAGCCTGAAGCTCATAAACAGCATGGCACGCTTACAATAGCTGGTGGAAGCCCACACACACAGGAGCAGTTCCCATGGACTCCGTGATATCTTAGCGCTGTCCCCATTGACTGGCTCAGCAGTTGATGGTACAGCACAGTGTTTTTCAACACTGGCTGCATGTCAAAACCACCTGGGGCCCCTTTTAAATTCCCTTGTGTCTTCTGGTTGACCTGGTCTAGGCAGCAGCCTTGGCATCTGTATTTTTAAATTCCCCATGTGATTTAAATGTGCATCCAGTACTGAAAACTACTAGTGTGGCATAACGTCCACTTCTAATTTGGAAAACAAGAGAGGGAATAAAAGGAAGCACTTGTTATAAAATACTTAAAGATGTTTGTGTGTTTTTTTAAATAAATTACAAGTGGGAAATAATTTGCCATTAAATGCCTTTTGTTAAATTTAATTCAATTAAACTATAATTTTTACTGAACACTTATTATGTACACTATACATTGTGCTAATAACTGTCAGGAATATTTTGAAAAGTCAATTCCCTTTTTGGCAGAGGGGAAAATCTGATTAGGAAGACATTTACACACAAAAACATGATTAGCGATAATTGTAACACAGTAATATGAACAACTGAATAGTCTCATTCTAAAGCTCTGAGAAGATCAGGGAAAATGGCCAACGTGGCTGGGATTTCTGGGGAATACTTCAAGGAGGCGGCGGGACACAGAGGTCTGAAAGCAGCGAGGTATGTAAAAGAGAAGAAAGAGGAAGGACTCTCAGCCTTTCTTTTTGGGGATGTACATTGGGAA